TGGTTTCTGAACGATCCTCGGTCCCTCTACATTCGTTAATAAAACTGAGACGAGACTCTTCTTGTTCGGATGAGAATTGACTTCTCCTGCGTTCGCGCAGCGCGATCAACTCGGCCCGACTGCGACCAGGAAGTAAAGGCGCAAAAGAGTCTGACGATGAGGCGACAATTGAGGGGTTAAGAGCGGGCACTTGATCTGGATAAGTTTTTAATGATGACGATGATGATGATGAGTTGGACACGGATGGCTGTGGTTGAGCGAGTGAGGATTCTAGGGTTTTACATCGATTGGCTATCTCGATCAAGGCCATTCGGATTTGGTGGGTCTGTTCTGAGTTGGCTGGATGTGCACTTGATGAACTGGTTGATTCCGCTCTTTGCCGCCAGTATTGTGCGTGTGAATTCGCTTTCTGGACTTGGATCCTAAGCTCCAAATTCTCATTCTTCAATTCCTTGATCACTCGTTCGAGTTCTGCTGTCGATTTGAGTAGAAACCTGTTCTTGTGTATCAGATCTTGATTCTGTTTGGAGTGTTTCTGTTTAACTGAGCCACAAATAAATGTAAGAAGCAAAGGATAAAACGCGTATTTTTTGGTTAGTTTTATCATGTCAAGGCAAATTGAATGACGCAATAATGACCCTGTCTGTGTAAAAAGAACGTCGCTTGGAGAAAGGGTTTACTAACAGTTCTCCAAGGCTTCCATCAAGATGGGTTGAAGAGATGCAGCCGTAGGTGGACCTGAGCTCCTAGTAGCTGGCATCCGATTTCGCGATCAAAACAGTCCAGCAAAAGTGGCTTTCGAATACACAAGTTCAGATTGCGCTTTCGGTCGTATCTCGTCGGGTGGGTCTTCAATGGTTGATGGCGTATTTACTCCAATTACAACCCAAACCGCAAAAAAAAAATTGTCAAAGGGCGACGCTTGTGGCCTCCGCCCCGCGTTGTCGGGTGTCATAAGCTTTCGGGGCCCGGACCCGAAAGTTGAAACACCTCAGAATTTAATTGGGCATTCCAACTGTGACAGTGAAGGGGCTTCTCTCAAGAAATGCATGCTTATGGTGACCTAATTTCTTTAGCTTTTACTCTTCTTCTCATGCGCCATGTTCACCGGTTGGGATTGGTTTCACATCTGATGCTTGTCTGAGTACACAAACAGGCGGACAGAGGCAAAATGGTGCAAGTTTGCAAAAGAAAAAAAAAAAAAAACTTCATCACAAATTTTGGAAAAACTTCTTTAATGAGTTTGCTGCTCTCAACGGCCCTGATATGCTCATGATGTCCAAGGAAAGCTTGATGGATTTGATTGATCTTTGGGATGATGGATTGTGGAAAGGAGCCTTCTCTCACTGATCAGCTCTGAATTCTCATTAGCCTTTGACGCAGATTGAATTTCCCTTGAAATTCTTGCAATTCTTCAAGCCCTAGCCAACCCAGCTTTCGCTTTGGATATATGTTAGCTGTAACCTTTTTAGAAACCCTGCGTGCGTGGAATTCCATTGCCCCTCCATAGCGCAGAAGTACTAGAATCGCACATCTTTGGCAACCTACCCATCTAGCTTATTATACTCGACGTTCGATCCTCACTGGCCCAAAAGCTCATTCACATCCGCATCCCACAATTGCAGCGAAACCGCGCACGTAAATACGACGAAGTCCAGACATGCGTCACTTCGCCTTGATCTGTATCCTGGCAGCCTGGCTGGCCAGCCCAGCCCGAGCAATCACCTGCCTTCATCAAAGTATCGATTTGACAGAAGAGTTAGCCCCTCCTTGTCGAACGGTTTTCCTCTGTGCATGCGGCAAATTTGTGAGGTGCATGCGTCAGCGAATTGTTGCCATTGTACGCTGTGAAGATTGTGGCGAAGATCAGGGGGCGGCTTTTGCTGACGAGCCGTGCGCACATCACTTAAGTGTGTGTCCTGGCCACAACTGAAGGTGCTGCACAAGGTTTACCCTTGCAGGCAACCAGACTGAAAACCTAATTGATAAGCTAACCTGCAGGAAATGTTTTTTTTTTCTTAAAAAAGATCATCTGATTTTACTTTTAGGCCTGGTGAAAATCAGATTCAATACTTTTTTTCAAATGACCCCCTAACATATTAGAGTTGGTGAGCCAAAATTTCAAATCCAACCTTTTGTTAATGGCTTTTTTTGCATTTGGAAGGAACTCACACATTTTGGAATATTCACTTATCAGTTAACACATTTGATCATCTTTTCCAGGCATTCTTTCACTGTTTTAAGAAGCAATTTCAGCATCTCCCAGAAAAGATTAAAATCACCACACAAATTAATTTGACTCATCACATCATAAAATTTTGATGGAACAAAAACAACCATCTCAAGATTTCTTTTTCAACAATTATTAAGAGAAAGTCCAAGAAAAATATTAAAGCCAAATTCAATCCAGATGAGACCCTATCCAATTTATAATCATGTTAAATGTTTTACTGGCATATCAAATTTAAAGAAAAAAAGGTGGAACTATCCTCAACCCCCATCAATTTTGGCACAACATCTACCAAAATATCTGTATAAGTATTCTTTATGTTTCATGAGTTCTCACAGACTGTTAGAGATTTTTTTTTTGAGATAATTGAAATAGAAAACTTGGAAGGAGTTGTATATTGAAAGGCTATTGAGCTTTTCAGGCTCCAAAATTCAGGCTGATTTGAGTAAGAACCTGTTTGTGTGTATCAAATCTTGATTCTGTTTTGACTATTGTTGTTGAACTGAGTAACAAATAAATAAATAAAACTGAAACACAGGTTTTTGTCATTTTATCATCCAAACATCAAATTTAATCCATCACACATAGTTGAGGATACATTTTTATAAAAAAAAGTCAATTGGTAAAAGGTCTACTGACAGTTCTCCAAGGCTTCCATCATAATTGGTTTAACAGATGCAGATGTATGTGAACCTATACCCCTAGTCCTGGTTGAAATTTGATTTTACAATCAAGACATTCAAAGAAAATGATTCAGTATAGTAAAACTTCATTATATTTTGATAAATTGAGATGATTTTCAATGTATTGTGATCCATTTTGTCAGGGTCTTAAATTTTTGATGGTGGCTCCATCTCTCCTCCAACCCAAGCCAAGAAAAGAAGGTGAAACTTGTGGTTTTCACCCTGCATTTGGGGTCTTAGAAGCTCTTAGGGTTTGGACCTGGAACACCTACTTTTTTTTTATTCTGCCCAAAATTCTCATTGGGTGTTCCAAATTGCAAGGGTTTTTCCCCAGGAAATTCATGTTTGGTCAACTATTTCATTTTATTCTTGCACTCTTCTTTCTATACACCAATTCCATGGGTTTTGATTGGTTTGCCATCTGATACTCATCTAAGGAAACTGCTGTTAATGAACAATCTTAAGAATGTATTTCTTTTATAAGTATCAATCTACAATGAGAAATACATGAGAGAAAAAAGAGGTTTCCTAACCTTAAGGCAAACCACAGGTGCGCGATGAAGAAGGAAAAACAAAGAGAACAGTACAGGACAAAAGAGAACTGAGATACAATGAAGTAGCGCTACTGTTAATGTCTGGATCAGTTGAGAGCGCAGAAGAGAAAGACTGAGCCAAAGAACCTACAATAATATTATTGACCTGATGTTCTTCAAGGGATTTGGCGAGTGGTTGAGAGAGAAGGGAAGTACAGGTCAAGTATCGGCGGGAAGTCGAAATGGAAGGGAATGTACTGAGTGGAGAGAAGACAATAAAGATGGTTGAGTTTGAGAGAGATAGAGCGACACGAGATTGAGGAGTTCTCAATGGAAGGAAATGATGAGTGATGTCGAGCGGAGGAACTTTAGAATAGAGTTTAGATGATGTTGTAAGTAAAAACCGAGAAAGTTCCACGACCGGAAAGAAAGAGGGAGGAAAGAGGAGTCCTGTTTATATGTTTGAGGATCCGAGTAAGAGATAGAAGATTGCTTGAGTGTTTTGACGAGGCTCGAGCCAGATGACATCATATGATGATGTCATGTGTTGGAGCGTGTCGTCAAAGAGTTATGAGGTTAGAGGGATCGTGAGATGAGCGCAATAGCACTCAGACTTCAACAACTGCACAGACAGAGACACAATGGTCCAAGTTTTCAGAAACAAATAGATCATCAAATCAGCTTACTGATCATGATCATGATCAAATTTTCATAACTTCATCACATTCTTTTGGAAAAGCTTAATCCTTTTTTTGAAAAAAGTAACTTCATTGGATCAGAATTTACAGCCATGCAGAATTCATTCTAATCAAATGTTGAATTCTCCACTGTAAAACACCCTGATATCTGCATGTCCAAGGAAAGTTTGAAGGATCTGATTGATCTTTGCGATGATGGATCATTGAAATGATACCTCTCACTAATCTCTGAATTCTCAATACACTTTGATGCAGATTGGATTTCCCCCTGAATTCTTGCAATTCTTGAAGCCTTAGCCAGCTCAGCTTTTGCTTTTAGCATGCAACTAGCTGTAACCTGTTTAGAAACTATACTTGCTTAGAATTCCATTGCCCCCTCCATAGCGCAGAAGTACAAGAACTCCATATCTTTGGCAACCCACCCATCTTGCTTAGTGAACGTTCAATCCTCATTGGCCCAAAATCTCTTTCACTGGAGTCTCACAATAGCAGCAGAACTGGGGACATAAATACCACAAAGTCCAGAAATGCATCACTTCATGTCCATCTGTATCCTGTCAGCCCTGCTTGCCACCCTTGGCCAAGCAATCACCTGCCTTCATCCCAACTTTACGTTGACAGATGAATTAGCACCTCCTTGTCGAACAATTTTCATCTGCGCGTGTGGCCAACCTGTGATGTGCATGCGTCAGAGAGAGATCACCGTTCTACGCTGTGCTCAATGCGGCAATCCTGAAGCAGAGGTCTTTATTGACCAACCTTGCACACATCAATTAACTGTGTGTCCTGGCCATCAATGAATGTGGCACAAAAGGTTTGCCCTATCAAGTCAAGCAGCCGTAAAACCCAAATACTAAGCTGGCAGGCAATCATTTTTTATAAAAAGACAAGTCTTATTTTGGGCCTGTTGAAAATCATGTTGCATACTACCAGAAGTACCTAATCAACTGTTACCTCTGTTTTTGCACTTGTAATGACATGTTGGAATGTTCATTTATCAACTAATCCTTTTGAATATCTTCTTCATATTTTCAACCTTTTTAAATAGTGGGGATCTCAGCTGGGGCTTTGCAGAAGCAATTTTGGCAACTCTGGGTACCAATTGAATTCAACACCTTTTTTCCCATCTCACATCATTGTTTGGTCAACAAGATTATTTGTGGGTCTAACCTCAAAATCCATTTTGCCAAAGTGGAGTGCGGGAGGGGAACAACATGGATCTGACCTCATGAAAGTTTTGTCTCAGGCTTTTGAACATTTCCATGAGGTGGGATCCATGTTTTTTTGTCGCCCCCTCCACAGATGAGTTGGTTGAATTGATGAGGTGTAAATTGAATTTGATATTGTTTTCACTGATCTTCTGTAGAGTCACTCATGGGATAAACAGTGAGTCTCTGTTACTGTGGTGCAGCGGTGCAGCACAAAAAAGTGCACTCCTGTTGCCTAACAAGCCAAAAACAGGGGAAGGCATTAACAGGTTGTGCTGTTGCTACCACTACTTATAGCCACTCCCTTCTTTTTCCCAGCACAAGAGAAATCAGCGCAAAACAGAACCCATTTTCTACAAAAAGGGCAGTTGATCTTGGTATCTTATCATCACTTCTTAATTGGTTTGGTAAATGTTTCTATAGGCAGTTTTTTAACCTACTGCTGACCTTTTTCCCATGTTTTTTGACCTACCCCTCATTTCCCCTCACTCCCTCTGTTTTGGATATCTTTTTCACCCCACTTTCCAGCAATTTTACCCCATTTTAGGAGGGAAAAAAAAGGAAATGGCTGTAAAACCCACTAATACTATTGTGGCTAGATGACATTTATTACTGGAATTTCAGCCATTTCTGAGCTTTTGGTTTGCTAAAATTCTCAGAAACTTGACAAAATTTCAAACAGTCACAACTGTTTTTCAAGCAGCAGTACTCTGCCCTTGATGGGATTCACAATGTTGCAGTGTCAAAATTCTGCCTGCATGTATTTCTCAGCCTCATGTTTTTATTCCATCAGAATTATTTGTCATCAGGTTTGAAAGTCAAGTGAAAGTGACTTGCATAAATTTGGGCAAGAAGATGTTCTTCACAAAGAAACCATGCATGTTTTTGTTGAGCTACCAAGATTCATGAAAGTGATTTTGTCCTATTCATGTGTTGTGTTGCATGAATGTTGGATACTCTTCATGCAGAGTTCACTGATGTTTTTTTTGTCTCTGATATTGGAGGACTTCCCGTTGCATCTGGGACCCTCGCAGATGTCGATTTAGACCTGAAAAGTCTAGAATTTTGCTGGGAAATCTAGCTTTCAAGGCCTCTAAATCGCTTCTGGGAGACCCGCAGAGTTGACGGGAAGTTGTCCATTTTTCTCTTAGACTTTCTCTTGGGTTTTGAACTTGAAAATTGGTGAGCTTCTAGGAAATGAGGGCCAAACAGTAAAATATACAGCTTTGTCTCCAGGGATGCCTTGATGGAAACTTTAGATCATCTGTGACCCTCCTTTGGATCTATGTAGTACACCAAAAGACTGACACAGACTTTACCTATGAAACAAGGGGCCTAAATTGATATGCACACAACTGATGGCTAAAAATCATGGTACAACATCAGGAGAAAAATAACTCAATGTTTATGAGAGAAATAACAACAGATCAAGATACAGAGATCTGAAATTCCAACAATCCCTCCATATTATAACTATGTATCATGTGGTGTTGTTACCTGCATGCACGTTCTGATTTTGGGGTTGGGACTAGTCCAACAATAATATTAACATTGACCTCCTGAATGAAGTCTGGGACAAATCACACAGGAGGCTCTTAATTTTTTTCTCTCTCTTTTTTCATCCATAACTCAACTTCTAGGTGTGGGTGTTGCAACAAATTTTCATAAAAAAACAGCTAAAACAACTTTTGTGACATTTATCAAGTCAGTTCATGAGTAGCTAATAAACAAGTTAAGGTTTTGCAGTATATCACAAACATCAGCACATACAATTTTTGATCAGGTGATCAAGGAGTCCCTGGCCATGTGTTCATGTTGTCCAACATCTTGCTTGTTACAACAACATATATATATCTATTGACTCCCATGTGATGAGTTGCCTTGATGAGCAAATTCTTAAGTTTTTTTTAAAGTTTGAACCAATTGTACTTTAAAAGCATCATACACATGTGTATGACGTTCCCTATTTGGCGTGTACATATTCATGTAACACGTGCATCAGCCATGATGAAGAAAGGAATCATCAGATCCGAAAAACCCAAAAATTGATCGAGCCCCTACAACTTCATCCAAAAATCCAAAATTAATTTTCAAAAAGTCTAAGCATCATCATCAGTCGATTATAAACCCTACCAGTTCAGCGCCGACACCTACCGGACGTACCAACAACCACAAAAAAAAAAAAAGAAACTCGCCGTTTTTGGTCGAATATAACGTATATTAGGCCCCAGCAAGAAAATTCAACAATCAAGACGACGAGATCGACGGTTCTTTGTACACGAAGTAGCAGTATTGGTCAACTCAAGCCACCAGAAAAATTACCAGCAACGGCAGCCAGATCAGCAAGTCACAAGAGTACCGGGAGGGATCACATTTATCACGAACGAGAACCTTGAGGCTCACCAATTCAGATATCCCGTGTGAAGAAGATCGACTAGCGATTCAGGAAGGAAGACAGAGAGTACGAAACGAAGAAGATGGACAATTCGCGGGACATTAGAGAAGAAGATCGAGCCAGGCTTGCAGATGGTGAGGTACAAGAAGTAACAATTCATGATGGTGCTCATGATCATCGGTCGACGGACAACGAGACTCGGCGACTAATTATATTGCCGATGGAGGCTCCGAGGGACGGGCCTTTGAGTGGGAATCGTAGTTCGGCTCATCAGACCCACCCGACATCGTTCGTTCGCCCCAGTAACACAACCGTCGATCCCGGCCATTTGATCACTCCTTCTCCTGTCGACCCGTCATTGCTTCCGTTAGTCTCTCTCTCTCTCTCCTACTCATGAGACCTTTTTTCATTCTGTATTTATTATTCAGTTACTTCACTCCAGTTTTTTTTTGTCATGAAATATTTTTTGTTTTTGATCTCTTACTTCTGATCTTCCTTCTCACTCCAGCAATGTTTCCCAGACCGGACACTTGCACAGTCGAAACGTAGGTCTCTTGCTCTCTTTCTCGATGTTTTCTTTTTTCTTTTTTTTGAAATGATGAGTGATTGATAATTGGGTTGTATGTTTTCACTGATCAATCACTTCTCTTTTCAAGCTCTCTGCAAACCGCTTCTCCACTAATCCTATTGTAAGCCCCCCCCTTTATTTTCCTTACCTGATTTTGTGTAGTCATGTTTCATGAAACAACATGCTACTTCTTCTCTTCTTTCTCATTTCTTTGCCATGTCAGTCTTTTTCTTTGTTCACCCTCAATTTATCTGGGTCATCCTCACCAGATCGAGTTGTTGTTAGGACACCTTCTCCGATCTGTTGAATCCAAAATGTTTTTCTTAAGCCAGCTTGTAAAAGTTCTATTTTGTACTTTTTTTAAAGTTTAAACTTTGATCGCTGTGTACTATGTATTTAGTTTTATTATGTAGCTGTCACAGATGATCTGTGACATCCCCCCCTGCTGTTCCTGTGATCTGATTACGTCATCCGATTCATTTTTCAGGCTCATCCTTCATCAAACTCAACCAACCAACACCACCTCCACCACCAACAACAACCATCTCTCACTCTCAACCAACCCATCCTCAACCTGGATCCTGAATCAAACCAACAACAACAACAACCAAACCACCAGACTCGACCTCAAAACGATTCACATCAAAGGCCATCCAAACGACCCCGATACGCTATCGGCATGCAATCCAACCATCAGAATCAGAATAATAATAATAACACCAACAATCTCACATCATCATCATCATCATCATCATCCAACCAACCCCCACTCTATTCGGATGACGAGGATGATGAGATGTCAGAAGCCAGACCAGCAAACTCATCAATCATCAACAACATCAACAACAATCACTCTTCAACATCCCGACCACAGCACTCCAAGTCACCCAATAATCCAACCATCCATCCCCCTCAAGACTTACAATCCCTACTCAAGAACTTCTCGGACGGTCTTCGTGCATTAGCACCTCGTCTGATATCATCATCACCAGCAGCGCCCGACGGTCATCAGTCGCTGAATCCGGACTCCCAAGTCGATCAGCCCAATCAATCGCATCCTCTTCCTCATCCCTTGCATCCCCCATGGCCTATGATATCCGATATCGATCGGGAAGAGATCGTCAGATTACTTCTGCAAAGTCTCAAGGAGATCGGCTATCCGTTAGCCCTTTTTCTTTTACCCTGTCCTCTTATCTTTCTTCAGTGCACAGACAAAAAACATTTGACTGACTTTGGAAATCAATCAAATCCATCTAGAGCTGCAGCCATGACATTAGAGGTCGAATCTGGTTTCTCACTCGATCCAAGCCCAGAGATTACTTCGTTCAGACAAAACGTACTGAATGGAAAGTGGCTCGAGGTGGACGAACTACTCCAGAAGGAATATCTCAAGTACTGCGATCACTCTCAAATCAGCTCTTCCCCTCTCTCGCCCGTGTACAATAAACATGACAGCTGCGATAATAGGATTACTAAAAGTCTGTTCGGAGTGGATGTTCATGTCTTGAAAGTATGAGTTCAAACACACACATACCAATCTGTCTTGACTTATCTATATATATATGTATCTTTTAGGCTTTTCCTAATTAAAATCAATTCATTCTCTTCCCTCCCTCCTTCCAGTTGGCCAGGTTTCTGGTGATTCAAGAAAAATATCTCGAGCTCTTAGAATCTCGTCAAATTCGAAAGGCGCTCGTAGTCTTGAGAAGTGAGATAGCCCCCTTAGTCACCCCGCCCAGTCAGAACGGTTCGACTCCAAACATCAAATCAAAATCATCTATCTCCGGCATCGGCCTGTCGTTCAATGACAAACTATCCTCTCCCACCGGGAACGGTGCCCTAACAGGATGGACAAACAATCAGGACGACGATCCGGGTGTTCAGAGGCTCTGTCTCTTGAGCTCTTTAATGATGTGTGGGACTAGTGATGAAGTTCGTGAAAGGGCGGAATGGGATGGAGTGGCTAATGGCAGTCGAGTGAAACTTTTGGAAGAGCTACAAGGTATTTTTTTTTATTGATTCTATCAAATCAACTCCTCCCTTTCTTTTCATTTTTTAAGATATGTATAAAAAATTTCAATCCACTCACATTTCACCAAAAACAGTCACAGGTTTTAGGTAATCTAGAAACTGAACTGTCTTTGATGATTTTTTCTGCTTCTTTGGGATGGGAATTGGGGGATGGTCTGGTTTACGAATCATAGAATTAATACCCCCACAGAAGTTACTTCCACATCAAAGATTGCCGCATCTACTAGAACAATCGAAGACCTTACAACGATTGCAATGTTTATATCACGTCACGAATCCGAAGATCTCGTTATTATCCAACCATACTTGTAGTCGATCTGCATTCCCAACGGAGACTAGTCATGTGTTATCTCGCCATACCGACGAGGTTTGGAGGATCGAATGGGCGCATGATGGCCGTCGATTAGCCTCCGCTGACCGCGCTAAGACTTGTATCATTTGGAAAGTCAAATCCAATCCGGCTGCGTCTTCTTCTTCCGCCTCAAATCCCGTCGGCTCCAATCGTGATTCCCCTAGAATGCCTAGGTCTTCTCGCTTCTCTGGCCCTTCTTCTCCCGACAAAAAACCTTCCTCTCGACGAACTCAGTTGGGCTCACAAGGTACGTCTCAGTCGGCTCGTCCGGTTGATTCACCTTTTTTTTCTAACGGTCTTCTTGGACTTTCCCTTGGCAATCGTTTCTTGTTTTCAAGATGAGGAGCTCGAGTTCGAAGTCGATCTCGTCTTGGATCGTCATCCGGCTGGGATCGCTTGTATTGCTTGGTCTCCAGATGACAGCGTACTCTTGACCGGATCAGATTCTACGATCACCATGTGGAATACTCGGGTTAGTCTCTTCGTTTAATTCCTTTCTCATTATTCCTTTTAAACTTTTGCTAATTTATTTTGCTTGATTGTAGACGGGTGATTGTATTGCTACTATGGTTAAACATGCCTATGATGTCGGTGCGTTGTCTTGGTTACCTGATGGAAGAAGCTTTGTCTCGGGAGGATTAGATACCAATGTTTTATTTTGGGTACGACCTCCGCTTTTCCCCCCTTTCCATCAAACTTTGAAAACTAATTGAAAGCTAAACAGAAATAACATGATGTGGCTTGATAAAAATTGATAGGATTTGAAAGGACAGAACACGTATAAATGGCAAGTCGGGCCGACGCGAATCAACGACTTAGCAGTCTCGCCAGACGGCAAAAGACTAGTAGTTATTGGGACCGCTGCTGTCGATCCTTCCGATGATCATCATTCGGCCTCGGCTCAGGAATCTGCAAATCCCGCGCACTCGGTCGACGATTCTCCTGCAAGACTCCATCATCAGTCTCAATCTGCTCTTCTTGATAATCATCGCTCTAGTCATGCTACTGCTACCCCTACTGCTGCTGCTGCTGCTTCTGGAGATTCTGGTAAACAGGGTCGGATACATATCTTTAACATCCCCGAAAAAAGACAGATCGCGTTTGTTACCTCTTTTCTTTATCTCTTTTTTACATTATGTTTGATTGATTGTCTGTTGACTGATTGTTTTTTCTTTTGCGTTCCAGGATGATCCCGTTGAGTCCTGATTTGACCTGTGTTTCTATTTCGGATGATTCGAAATATGCTTTAATTAATCAATCACCTAATGTAAGAAACAGTTTTCTAGAAGTGCAAGTGGTGCTTTTTTTTATGTGTAGAAGACTGATAACGTTTTTTTGTATTGTTTGAATGAACTATAAATATATATAGCAAGTCTTACTATATTCATTAGAAGAACAAAAACTGATCCGAAGATATGTAGGCCAAAAGCAAGGGCGCTTCATAATCAGAAGTTGCTTTGGAGGCTTAGATCGGAACTTCGTCCTGAGTGGAAGTGAGGATGGGAAGATCTATGTGTGGCACATGGAGACGGGCGCGTTGATTGAAGTGCTTGCGGGGCATGGCGAAGGGACTGTAAATGCGGTCGCTTGGAATTCGGTCGATCCACCTCTGTTCGCCAGCGCCAGTGATGATCACACGGTTCGTCCTACACCTACCCCTCCTTTTTCCTTTTTCCTCATCATCTCATCTTGTTTGAATTACTTTCGTAACTCATGCTTGCTTCGTGGGACTCAAAGGTCCGGATCTGGCAAGCTCCTAATGATAAACGATCTTCAACTACTCCTGCCATCGATCATCATCATCCTTCTTCGTCTTCCAAGGAAACCTCAAACGGGGACGGTATCCTTCCTAACACTAATAACCATCAGAATATCCTCGAGCTTCTTAATCATCATCATCATCCTCATTCCCCGCCCCCTCCCCCTCCTCCTCCTGACCCCGTGGATCTTGCTCACATCCATCAGCATCCGGATCCTGATGATCTTGATGATCACGATCATCTTGAACAGCCTCTTCTTATCGAAAGTCTTGATCATGATCTTGATGATCAACATGAAACTATTTATTAAATCTTTTACTTTTATTCTTCATTTTCTCTAAAACAAATTCTTGGTTGGTTGGTTGATTGATCTAGATCATTCTTCCTCAATCATGGAAAAATAACAAAATAATCAACTAACAGATTAACAAAATGAAAACAAAAAAGAAACAAAAGAAAATCAAAGAAACAAAATAAAATCAAAGAAACAAAATAAAAGAAAAGAAAAAAGTGACTGAAATTTGTTTTTATCTAATCATCTTTCCATCCCATCCCATCTTACCATGAATCATTCATTGTTGACATTTTTTCTGATGTTTTTGATGTGATAGTATCTTATTCATCTATGTAAAACATTCAACATTCTTTTCTCTCTATCATTCTCAATTGATTCATTCTGAGTGATTGTTGTTCTGATTACATTAACATTTTTTCCTTTTTTCCTTTTTTCCTTTTTTCCTTTTTTCCTTTTTTCCTTTTTTCCTTTTTTCCTTTTTTTCCTTTTTTTCCTTCTACTTATCCTTTTTTTTGTTCTTTTGGAGAGTGTTGTTTTCTTTTTTTTTGTAAGGAGGGGGGAGGAGGGAGGGAGAGAAGGAAGAAGGGTGGGTGTGTTGTAGATAAAGATAAAAACAGATGTGTAATTGTGCATTGATTCTTTGGAAAAGTGATCATGTGTTTTTGGACCAAAGATGTGTGGAGTGGTGATCTATGAGAATTGTTGGATGATGGTTATTGAGTGAGTGAGTGGATGAAAAATCAGACCCTTCTTCCTGTACTCATGGAGGGTTAAGATTGAGACTCATAATAGCCCGGTTCATGTAGGGCGTTTTTATGACATGTGTGAAAAGTCGCACCGCTTGTCACTTAAACTGTTTTGCTTAAATTGTGCGTGGGACTCCGCCAAAATTTTAACGAGATGTCGTTAAGCGTTGCTCGTCAAACAAATTTTATTTGTGAACAAGCAGCTACGTTGTGGAACTCCTCTTTGGGATGAATAGAGCTTGAGAGGGAATAGTGCTTTAATGGGCTGCCTCTCTGGAACTAGGATGAGTAAGGTAACAAGAAAAGAACAAGAGTATGGACTCTTGAAGAATAGGTGTGGCTATGGAGATTTCTTGAGTAAGGTATGTCTAATATGTCTTATGTCTACTGGTCAAAATATACTTGTTCACAAATCAAGGTATCCCAAATGTTGATGGGCATATACCTGGCTAATAATGGGTGATCAGTTATCTGGCTTACTGGGGCAGGATCTGATGGGGAACAAATGAACATGAAAAACAAGGCTCCTTATATACAAGATTCTGGGGAGTGGCCAGCTTGTGGGTGGAAGGGGGATGGAACAAAATGGAAGAGTGAAAAATATTAAACTGAGACAATGTGGCCCAAATGGTAGGCACTAAGATAAATGGGGAAAATGACATCAGAGACATGCAGGGATGAAATGTGCCACAACCAATGAGGGAGGAAGAATATACCAAAGAGATGAATGAACTAGCCAAATGTGTACTAGTGTGAGACATCAGAATAACCAATGTAGAATAGTGTGAAACAGTGGAATGTGGCCCAAAGTGGAAATGAGACTAGAGTGAAAGTGGATTAGAGTGAAACACATGCAGAGGCCAAATGTGGAAGGCTGAATGGGGATTGATGATGTAAAGCTGCATGAAGTGATTATGTAATAAGAAGTGTAATGTGGAATCCAGAGTGTTTCTGTCCAGGGGGCTTGGTCTTGTGACATCCATGGTGTTGCAGGTTGGTTGAATATTCCAGAGGGGGCTTGTCTTGGTCTTTGAGGGTATTGTTGTCCAGAGGGCTTGATATTGTGCTTGAGGCTTTGATTTTGTGGGCCTCTTATTCAAGATTGGCTTACCACAACGT